ATATCAAGTGTGCAAAGGTTATATAGACTCAAAACCTGTAAATATATATGAGTGGATTTTTGAATTAAGCCTCCGCTGACAATTAAATAGAAATAGATAAATATAGTTACCAAAATACCCAAGACAAAAGAGAATCCTGCCAAATTTACTTGAAAATACTTGGAGCTCTGACTAGATCCTCCCACATATCTTCAGCGACAAGTCAGCCAACTCCCTCAAACGGTTCAGCTCAGGCAACACAACTGAACCCAAATCCGGCCTATCTCTCCTTCGAAGCTCAGCACACATCAATCCCAGCTTCGCAAGTTTCATTGTTTCTTCCATAGGCCAACCTGACACCTTACTATCCAACATTCCTTCAAAATTACCCATCTCCAAGGCATTCTCAACATCATGCGCAAGCCCCATAGGTGGCCTCCCAGTAATTAGCTGAAGGAGTATGATTCCAAGAGCATAGACATCAGATTTCACACCTACAGTCCCAGTTTTCTGATACTCAGGATCAATGTAGCAGAAAGTTCCAGCAGCAGCAGTTGCAAGATATTGACTGGTGCAAGTTGATGTATTGGAAGGGAGCAGACGAGCAAGACCAACATCAGTGATCTTGCTAACAAAGTTTTCATCGAGCAGAATGTTGGCAGGCTTGAGGTCACGATGAACGAGAGGCTCGGGTTTTGTTTGGTGGAGGTAAAGAAGGGCAGAGGCAATCTCGGCAGCGATCTTGAAGCGGAGTTGCCAAGGGAGGGGAGCTGTGCCACGACGACAAAAGATGTGCTCTTCAAGGTTTCCTTTGGCCATAAACTCATAGACTAAGCATCCATATTCAGGACAGACACCCATGAGCTGAACCAAATTTGGGTGATGAATGCTCCCAAGTACTTCCACCTGAAAAGTATTTAGGATAAATATAGACTGCATGTCAACAGGGAAGTCATGAAAGACATACCACAATTCTAAGTTCAAGTCAGAATTGAGGGATCTGCTAAATAAAATAATCGCTCTTAAAGGGATCAGAATGCAAAAAGATAAACACAGGGTTCGCACAACAAAATGCTAATTTAAAGTACCTCCTGTTGAAATTGTTCTACCCCTCTGACCACATCAGGTCTAGGAATCTTGATTGCCACAGGGGTCTGATCAAGTGTTGATTTAAAAACAGGACCGTATCCTCCCTCTCCTATCTGCAGCGCTTTTGAAAAGTTATTTGTCACCTCTTTGATCTCTTCAATGCCATATTTCTTATATTGCAGCCTTGATGAAAATTTCTTTTCTTCCTTTGTTAAAATAGTATTCTCCCTGTCAATAGCTTTGCCCGCCTCGAATGCAACTTGAACTCTCGATCTCTTTTCCTCTTTCTTGTTCATTTTAGTTGTTGTCCTTCTTTCAGACCACCGATCAATCATGGGGGGTTCCTCATCAGCCCTCCCGTAGGATGCCTGCACACAGATAAGTATTATTGGTTGCATAAGGGAAAAGAGAAAAACTGGTATATGTCGTCAGTAGAAAAATTTGATGGAGTTTACATCTGCAACAATAAAAAGGAAAAATGTAACTTTAATGATTTGAAGATGATTAATTCTGCTTACCAATTTTTAGAGCTCAATAAATAATTACACATCTAGGCGTCACAGTGACTAAACTTTAAAAGACTTCTTAATCTCAACATATGTTACTTGGGTACTTCTAATCTGAAGCCGTACCAGTACCCGACCCATATCCGTACCAAAGGAGTACCCAAACTCCTTGGACACTCCTTGCATATATGCATACGTTTATTAGGGCATGTACTCAATAATATAACACGTTTTAATTTAAAACACTTGTCATACATTTTTTCGACATATATCTACACTTCACATCCACTTCTTGCAACTCGTTGGACATAGATCAGGTTCTGAGTTATGATTTTGAAGGGTTGTTTGAATGTCTAGTTCAAAAACTAGTGATTTTCCAATTATAATCTACATAATAAAAGAAACATAAAAATATTATAGGAATCTTAGTTCTCTTTTTTCTCATATAAATTATTAATTCCAATATAAAATATGTGTATATAAATATAGCTGTGTCCCCGTACCCTACCTCTTACAACTTTGTCGTGTCTCCTACCTGTACCCGTACCCATGAAACAAAGATCTCAACTAAAAAGTTTATGCAAGACCAAAGACTGCAAGTGACTATACAGAGGCATTGCAAGCGGTCCAGCAAATGGGAGTTCACTTTCAAAACTAGATGTGTAGCAGGAGGATACCGAAAAAGAACAGCAAGAAATTTCAGTCATAACAAAAACAAAGCTTACTGAAATAAAACCTGCTCCAATAAATTATGAGATAATTATTTCAATATTTAATGTGAACACCTTCTTAGAAGCATCTTCATATTTATCCACAGCCATCTTAAGTTCGAGTTGCAATCTTCTCATCTCAGATTCTGCATCATCCTGTTAGACCCAAATATTGACAAGAAACTTTTTATAAATGCTCTAAACTATTGGCTTTGATCAAATAAAAAAATAAAAGAAAATTTTATCAACATTCCAGACTTTTTAGAACAAATAGTGCATGAAGGAAATTTGTTACGAGTTCAATTCGTTTATTTGAACTTAGAAATTACGAAGTTCATTAGTTCTTCACGCTTATGTGATGGCTCTAGATAGAAAGATTAATCTCAAAGAAAGTTCTATTATTGCCTCATACAATTTCCCATCTTAATCTCTCATCCCTTAAGTTCTAGGTTCCTCAATAACAATGTGTCTATGAGGTAGTGAAAAGTGCACTCAAGTCCAACGATATCAAGCTAGATGAAGCAGTGCCATCCCTGTACAGGCAACTTTGAATGGGTGAATGAATAGAAAACTCTGAAGTGAAAATGAAAATACTTGCAAGCCCAGAAAGACAGCCAGGTGAAGGATTTGCACATGTAATGCAAGGTGTTCTAACCAACATTTCAGACTGGATCTGCCTATATCTTAACCACCTGTGTTTGTTGAAAGGATGCCTGAATCTCTAGATCTTGGTCAGAGCTTCAAGGCTAGATCAGGTTCCATTGTTTTAAACAATAAATAACCAAATAAGAATAGTGAATAGAAAATGACGGATGCAATTTATGAAATGCACCAAAAGAATGAAAGGAGCTCGTAATAAGAATTATCGTCATCATAACCGGAGCATTTACCATCAGAAAGGTTAGATATGGTGCAGGACTTGGCCGTCAAGAAAGCCCAACATAAGAATCAACCCGAAATTTTATGATTGGCTATCAACCTAGTGCCAATTCTTCATGGGTTGGGAATTCCCAGTCGTATTAACTACTGAGGAATAAAGAAGGTCATGTCAAAGGATCTTGATAGTCAATTTATGTTCACAGAACCAAGGAGTAAGACTTCAAAATCCTAGACCTTGAAAATATCTAAAAAGATGTAAGATGGTATATAATCCGCTAGAATGCAAGAGAAATGGAATCAAATTCCTGTAAACTAACGAAAATAATCAAATCCTCTCCCCCAAATTCCCAGTGGACTGACCATATATCCATAACATGCCATCAAACTTTGCATGTCCAGGGAGTGGATATGAAACTGAGCCTGATATGCATATCCAATATCGAATACTGTAATACATAGATTCCAGTTAAAATTTTGATAACAGCATTACAGGAACAAACCAGCCATTTAATAAATGAACCAATCAGCGTTCTTTTGAGAAAGAGTTAAAAAAAACTTTAAAGATGCCATCAGGTCAATTTAACTTTTACTATCTCACAACATGTCGATCTAAATTAAGTCGTAATGAAACTAAAATATGGATATCACACTCTAAATGCCACCAAGTTATAAGAGTATTATGAGACATTAAAAATATCAAAATCTACAACACCACCATTGCCGAAACTTTTTGTTCAAACGCACACCTCATCATCTGGCCAAAGTTATACTGTATCATCATGTGTAATATTTTGTATGTAAAACAAGATCCTGAAGAATCTCAACTAAAAAGAGAACCGGCTCTAATTACACCTCACAAGTAAAAGAAAGCAGAGTTGATAAATTGGCGATACAGAGGCATGTACCATTAAAGTTCCGAGGATAGTAGAAAGATTGTAACTTATGGAACATAGAAAGTTTGAAGAGAGTCTAATATTGTCACTTACAATATGAGCTGAATGCTTATATCCACTGGATCCAGTATCAGTCCAGTATGCGTCAGAGCTTTTTGTTTGCTCTTCAAGGTAACTATTCCCATTATTACTTGAAGCTGATAAATGTGCCTGTTGTCTCCCACAATCAAGAAGAACTCGAGGGGAAGAGCTGCTCCCCTTATCAATGCTTGTCCTGTTTGGACTAGGACAAGAAGCGAAACTAAGAACAGGGAATTCATTAGGCTCTTCAGGATGGTGAAATCCCTTGGCATTGTTTCTCTGTTCATATCCGCAAGAAGTCACATTTTTACTGACATGTCCAGGCATTGCATTATTTATCATTGCGGACCTGATTAAGAACTTAGCGTCAAAAATATGCAGCAAATAGAGATAGAAAACAAATGATCTTTTAGGCTTCTCTAGTAAGATGAAACTAATAAGTGCATGCGTTATTGCATTAGCAACTTCAGTTCAGTAAAGCATACCAGGAAATCCATTATTCAAAATAAGTAAATTAAATGAAACTCAATTAGAACTTCATTTCTTGCTATCATTTAAATATTTAAAAAGTAGGATTGTTTTTTCATAATAGACAAGAACACATACAATCATCATTTTATCAAGCAAGCAATATTACCAGTTACACTGCATGTTTTGATTCGTGATACAAGTACACAATGTGCTACTTTAGTGGTATACAGTAGGAACGGTTAGACTTAATTAGTACTATACTTTTTCGGTTTCATGGTATATATATGTTGAAGCCTTACCATAGTAATTTTGATAATTAAGCATAGAGTATTATGGGCATATGATGCTCATATATGTTTATCGCAATGAGTAAAAATAAGAACTATGTCAATTGTTATCCACTCAAAAAAATGAGAAAAGAAAAGAAAGCATTAGTTAAGAAAATCGAAATTCAACTCCAAATTTTACAGGCGTGTTATGATTCTAGAAAACTGAAAACAAGTCTAGCAGTGCTAAATATCAGTTAATCACATTAATAATCTATTAGTCATAAGTTCTCATTTATTTTTCAGGTCACCAATTTTTGCAATCGGATTGGCAAACCACTGGGAATTGATATGTATGGACTGGATCAGAATTCATGGGGTTTGAAGTGATTTATGTAACAATGTATAAATATTTTCAAATGGGTTTTGAGGAAGCTGAACAAGTGGAAACAAGCAAAATAATAATAATAATAAAGATGTTTAGGTTTCGAAGATGGAAGAGAAAAGTGTATGTACATTAGCAATATTGATATCAAAATATATTTGAAACTCCATAATTTTCCAAAAAAAAACCCAGTCAACCTCATTTATTATTATCAGTTGAAACTACATAAAAATTTGTCATAATAGTTAAAAAGGCAAGTGGAGATCACTCATTATATAGGTCTCTTTAAAATGGAATTTGAGTAAATATGCAAATGGGAGGATATAGCTCAGTTATGATACTTATCATATCCATATCCACTTTCCAATCACGGATACAGATATACCTCTATAAGAAAAACTCATATCCAAATTCGCTATAATTGGATATAGATGCGGGTATACTTGCAGATAGAAAACAGATAAGAAAAAACCAAATAATATCAAAATATATATAGTTCATATGATACTAGAGAGTTCATTAATATGTTTGTTATATCTGAAATGCTAAGATTGGATCTTTTGATCATCAAAATTAGTCTCAAGTTCATTAATCTAAGGACTGAAACAATTGTAGATGTATGGTCAACATGTATTCAGATATTTCGAATACGGATCCAGATATTTCACTACATAACAATATCCGTAACCATCTCCTATCGGTTATAAATTTGAGTAATCATATTCGCATCCTAACGAATACGGTTACAAATATATCCATGGATACAGACTTTGGACCCCTAGTTTTGAGTCTTTTGACTCTACACCACCACTATGTTTCTTTAAGAAATGAAGTTCATGCGTTTTTTTTTATGATTTGATTTTTTAAATATATATTGCTATACGAATGTTGCTAATGCAATACACACGCACTTAAATACTTCCATACTTCATGTCATAGTTCCTGGTAAATTTGTTCTCTTAAACTTTGATGACATAAAGTTACACACATTTAGGAAGTTGTACAGAAAATGCTTCCTTAGTGTACGTCAAAAGTCCTGGTAAATTAAAATTTACTATCCATTAAATGTTTGTGAGAGTTTGCATCCCTTGTCCTGGCCCTCCTGGTAGATCAACTAACAGGCTAAATATCTTGATTCATTTTCTTATGAAAAAATCAGATAACATAAAAGTATACAGTAATAGTACAGGACATTAACATATTGGAAGGTGAGTGCTATCTCCTACCTTCTAGGAGAATCCATATGGCGCTTGGCAAGCATTTCACCTGTAAAGTTCAAACCATTAAGTACATCTGACTTGCTGGTTTCAAAATAGTTAAGAGGGATAAATGAACTAAATGTCAATAGTAACATCCATGAAGATGAACATAAGAACTAAGATACAGACGAACTTTTAGAAGACTGGAATTGGTTTGCAGCAATTCCAAAGTTGGTAGCTAGCCCGCTGAAATTGGAAGTCTTTGCACAATTAGCCGGCCGAGAAGAGGAAACCTTCCCCTTGGATATGACATATACAGAGCAAAATCCTGGTGCTATTTTTGAAACAGATGATGGAACATCTGCCTGCTTAAAAGTTCTGTGAAAGTAAGGTAACATCAGCATGTGTACAGAGTCATTGATTATTTTGGTAGTAAAGACGTGAACAGTGAGACCAGTGTTGGAACATAACATACCTTGAAAATGCACTCCTAGACGATGCTCCAAGAACTAACTTGTCAACACTATGTTGCAACACGAAATCATTGATTGCATAAGGTATATTCATATCATTCAAGATGACTTCCCTGCAATTCAGCTGCATTCACAAAATTGTATATGAAACAAGCTTAGTAAAATATGCGGAGGTATATATGAGCCATATTCCCATATCCTATACCCCTAGAAATCCCCATGTCCTCATATAAATAACATGATACATATGTGTTCCCCACTCATACTAGTGCACCACAGAAAGAAAAGGAAACAACAATATACTGAGGAGGAAAAAAGGAAGGAGCACAGACAAAAAGATAAAGAAAAGGAATGAAAGGCATGAAGAGCAACATATTAGTGCATGCAAACCTGAGGAGGCGAGAAGAAATATCCAGTAAGAAAAGAGAAGAAATCTTCAGTACCTTTTTTAAAAGGAAAAAACATGTCTTGACATCATTCAGAAAACCATGGTATATCCAATTTGGTATTCAGTTCAACAAGCATTATGCCCATGCTCACCCTGTGGATCTGATCACTTTGATTTATATATTAGGGTTATTATATGATTTGGGGTTCCCTTCTAACTTAAATTGTGATGAAACTTTTTTCTTTTATCGTTGCTTCTTCTTTTCTGTTTTGTGTATATAGTCCACTTTTTCTTGTGAACATGAGCAGGAAAATGACTTATACCAATGGCTAACATGAGAGGACCAAAGTGACCGCCATGAAGATTTACAGGATCTTATCGAACCCTAACACCATTAGTGATATCTTCGAAAACTCATTTCAATTCTGAACAGGCAAGAGACTTATGGTCTAATATTAATAACATTGATAAATTGGCCAAAGTTGCAATGTCAAACTCAAACAGTCTCTCATCTTGACTTGCAGAAAACAATTTATCAGAATCCAAAGGCAATGTGTAGATTTTGCTAGATAAAATGATATGAATTTCTTTTTTATTATGTTGATGACCTTAGAAATTGCTATTGGAATTTTTACGGGAATCCTATAGATTGAAATTAGCAGTTTAAGAGCTGATGAAGTATGTGATAATTTCGTGATGATGACATGAAGAATATTGTTGAGACAAAATGAGTAATTCTTCAATGGGTCCATGAGAATATACAAGAAGATGGCGATATGAACGTGAAAGATACAAACAAGAAAACTTTAAGAACCATATACAAACTCAATTTAGATTTCTTCTTAAAATAGGTAGTGTCATTAGCTGATTATTGTTGGATTTTGCCCATTTTGTTAATTTTATTTTTTTCAGAAATTAAAATCAGGTTTTAAAAAGTATTTAGACCTTAATACCATTCAAAATTTTACAGAAGTTAATGTTAGGAGTAAAATTGAGGGAATAAAGCAAATTGAGGGGCTTGATTTATAATTATTTTCATTTGGGGGTAAATTAAAGAATAGCTATACTTTAAAGGGTATATATATGCAAAACCCAATAAATAAAAGATGGACTTGTCGCATCTGTTTGTAGTTTGAGAAAGAAATGGAAGAAAAGAAAAAGCCAAAAAATAACAGAAAAATAAAAGGAAAAGAGAAATAAAAATATGATTATTAGATTTTTCTAATATATGGATAGTTATGATTTAATTAGGATTATCAAATATTTGATTATAAGAATTATCTAATTATGGACTGGTTTCATTTGAATAAGATTTTTGGGTAAAGATAAAATTAGGTGTCCACATTTCAGTTTCCATTAGGATTAGCGGTCCACATGTTAGTTTCTAATAGGATTGGGTGTTCACGTGTCATGCTTAGAGGAGATATAAAAAGACACGTGTCGTTTTTTTGGAGATATAAAAAGACACATCAAAATTTTAAGTTGGGAGACTCTAATAACAAACCATCAATTTCTCATTATATATGAAGGAGGGATTCGACTTCCACAAGGATATTCTGCCTAGCTATGCAAAAGAAAGATAACCTATTAGCCCCTAACTTCACTAGTTGATATTAACTCAAGGCTAACCTCATTGTTTTAGAGCTCTAATATGAAGATTGCATCTACATACCGCCCTTCTGCTGCAGAAACACTGAAATGGTGTGAGTAGTTCTTGTGTCTCAATGTCTGCAGATGAAACTTCATCTTCAAGTCCATGAAATAGACTGGCTGGATATCAAACATGAAAAGTTTCAGTAAATGAAAAATGAAAACAATTTGACAATAAGCATTCATAAACCAATTGTTATTATCATGCACAAGAATAATAATGTAAGATATGATATATTAGCTGCAGGAAGTTTCCCAAAAAAAGGCATGGATATTGAACGAAGTTATGGAATATATAACATGTTAGGATTAGTTAATTATAGGTGGAGATACCATAATTACAATCCACATGGAATGACTCAAAGTGCGTAAATAAATCAATAGATCTAAAAAGAAACATCATAACTCCTGAGTTGAGAAAACATCACATTCCCAAAGCAATCGGCATAATCCGACGTGCAATTACTCTTTAGGATAAAAGTAAAACCAACTCATTTCTAACATCACCTAACAAGTAACAAATACTTACAAATAGAAGCAATTAATATTTGTCAGTCAAGAAGGGATGTTCCACAAAATCAAATCGTCCACATCTGGTTATCTCCACATAATTCCACTAGTAGATTGTTCGCAACATTGTAATGAAAATTTCACCTCTAATCAAAATTCACAACATCCAACTTTCTTCTAAATCTTCACCATCCATTAAAAAAAAAATCCTTTTTATCACCGATATACCCCCCAGATCAACTATATTTGCGAATTACCCTCCAAATCAAAACACTCGCTAATTTATCCTCAAATTCAAACTTCTGACGGTTGTTTTCAGCAAATATCAAGATTAATTCAAAACCTAATGAATAGATCGCAAAATTAAAAAATTTACCATCCCGTTTCCTGACATGAAGGAGGACAAAGGCGTAGCCTCTAGGGATCACGTGATCGGCCGCCCATTTGAGAGCGTGCTGGCTGTTCTTGTCCTTGTCGACGGCGACCACCACAAGCTGAGGATCCTCCTCGCCTTTGCCGGAGGCCCCTTGGACCTTCTTCGATGGGCTGGTCCTCAGCATCACCGGATCCCTCTTCGTCGACGACGAAGGCGTCGCCCGGGTGATCGGAGAGGGATCGGGATGAGGTTGGGTTTAGGGCTTACGATGGAGGGCGCCATTGAGGACGGGGAGAGAGCGAGGGGATGAAGGAGTGGGGCTGGTTGCAAGTTTGTTAAAATTATGGGGTTTTGCGGTTTTTTCGCCGTGTTTTGGTCCTCGGTTGAGCTGCTATGTCGGGAGCGGAGGCATCTCGCAGGCGGGTAACGGCTAGCTAAGCCCACATAAGGAAGCCCACGTTACTATCCAGGGCTGCACAAAAGGGCCCAATAGTTTAACCCAAATTAGAATCCTCAGATTGGGCTGGATGTTCTCTATTGTCCTCGTTTTGATATATATTATTGTAAACAAGAATCAAGGCAACAAGGATGATTCCTTGTCTAAAATATTCGCACGGGACCTAACAATTAACTATTGTGCATATATAGCACATGAAATGGAATTTTTCAAACTAAAATGCTACAGAATTTTCATGCATGGTAGCTTCGAGAGTCTACAAACAGTATATATGGGTGACATACACGAGCTCGCATCGTCGATCAGTAAGCTTTTCAATCAGCAGCTTGATGTAATCTATAAGAATTAAGTAAAAAGTAATTCTCGAACCACGGAATCTTTGTCGTCACGTAACAAATGGATACGATGCAATATGGTTGTATAGGTATTAGCCCATGAAGACGTTGATGAGTCCACATGACTTCGGCCTGCCCACGCGTAGGCACATGCTTCTCTTTTAATGTTACGTTTATGATTTATGGTACAACGTGACAGCTTCACGCTTTTGTTTCCTCTTGCAATGAGACAGCTCTAGACGACTAGCAGTCATCGCTCTGAAGAGTCTGGACTGATGAGCTCGGTGCCGTCTCATACAGCCTTAATTTGATCTATAATATTGACTGTTTGTGAGTGTACATTAATTTCTACAACATTAAATCTATTCCAATTAAAACAAGATTTTTAAAAACAAAATAAAAATAAAACACAGCTCACCATATCTAGAAAAAACTCAAGACACCTTGGACGTCGTCTAGCATGGTCTCACCGGACTCTTTTGGCAACTCAATAAGAGGGTGATTGGCTTGAATGTAAACTTTTTATTTTTATTTTTATTTTTTTATTGGACTTGTAGTAGACCCTATCATCTCCACCAGTTAACGTTTTCTACAAGAAACTTCTCTTAATGGGCTCATCACCAAATTGAAACCGTCCCCATTATCGTGTATTTATTCTTAGTTAATGATATTAAGACGAAGGCATGGGGAGCTCTGCTAGAACTTCAACTAAATTATATTTGATTCAGATAATTAGTTTTCCTACTTTCCAACTAACCAACCTCTCTTACATCACATGTAGCAATTTGGTCGGCACCTTAATGCCAGTACCACGCGACTCAGCATCTCGCAATTTGCGAGTCTTAGATGACGGCTTCATGCCCAAATATATATGTATGTGAAAAATAAAAAACAAATAATATTTTATCCGTCTCTGTATCCCAGCGGACTTAAACAAGCTGATTTAGGTCACCGCGCGAGAATGAAGTGTTATAGTGTCAGCGTTGACGCGGAGAATGTCTCATTATTATTTTGGAAAAGAAACATATGAGTGATCCATCACATGCCATTAATATGCACGGTTGGCTGTTGATAGATGAGGCGATCCTCTAATTAATAAAATATACAGTGAAGCCACTGTCAGGTTTGTAAAAATGTAGTCCGTATAATAGCTTTTGTTGGCTAATAATAAGTAATAATTTGGGTGCAGATTCACGCCCTCACGCCGTGAAAACGATATTACCCGAGAGAAAGCTCTCGTTTTTACTTTCACAAAACTACAAGTCAATCTCTATATTCCCGTTTCACAAATGAAACAAGAATAAAAAGTAAAATATCTCAACAAAGTGAAATATGCACTCTTCCTCTCATCAGTTCTAGGACTGACTTATCGAGGGAACCTACAAGTAATAGCCAACACCTAGAAAACAGTAACTACACAAGATTTACGTGGTTCGGCAAAATTACCTACGTCCACGGGAGGGGGTGAGGGGAGATTCCACTATGAAGGAGAACATCAACCACTTGTACAATCCACAAGCTCGTCTCAAAGATAAAGTTATGATTTTTACCCAAAATAAATTGACCTCACTCTTGTAAAATCTCTTAAAGCGCTTTCTTTTTCTCTCCTCGAGATCTCTTTTTTAGATCTGAAAAACGCTCTGTTTTTCTCCTCTAAACAGCCACCAAAAAGACCCTTTTTCTGTTTTTCTTCACTTGCAGCTGACTAAGACCCTCTGCCTTTTTTTTTCTTTTCTCCCTGCAGTTGTAACCCTAACCGACTTCGGCTATTAATAGCTTTGGCAAGTCTTGGGTGGGCCGCACCAGAAGTTGGGCTCTGCCTCTTTGCTACTTCGTGCGCGTGGTTTCGCGTACGTGGGTGTGGCCCCCACGCCCCACGTTCACAATTCTCCACTTTGCACATCATTTGATAAACCTTAAATTTTGGACGAACACACCGCGAACATCACCAGAGATAGATCTGAAACACCAAACCAGGCCACACTAGCTGCGCTACTATACCGCGACTGCCTACATACCCTCTGACCGGGATCAAGCTAATCGTAGTTCGTAATTCTTCATCATAGTTTCCACCTCACCCCATCACTGCCCCGAAGGGTCACGCCCTCTTGGACAAATCAACACGGGCTGATATGAAACAAGTCCAAGCAATGCTTAAACTTGCTACTTGTGACCACCTTGGTTAACATGTCTACGAGATTCTCATTCGTGTGCACCTTCATGAGAGAAATATTACCTTCCTCTATGACATCCCGCACGAAATGATATCTGACATCGATATGCTTGGTACGAGCATGATAAACTTGATTCTTCACCAAGTGAATCGTACTCTGACTATCGCACCACAAGTTCACATTCTCTTGCTCAATCCCCAAATCGTTCAGAAGACCCCACAACCACAATGCTTCATTTACTCCCTCCGTCATGGTCATGATGTACTCGACCTCTGTAGTAGAAAGTATCACTGTAGCATGTAACATCGATCGTAAACTAACTGGAGCCCCATGTATCCTGAATATATAACCAGTAGTAGATCGCCATCTATCTAGATCGCCCGCATAATCTGAGTCAACAAACCCATCAATCTGACACGTATCTCCATCAAAACACAGACCTGTATCAACGGTACCCTTCAAGTACCTCATGACCTATTTCACTGCTTCCTAATGTGCCTTTCCCGGATTCGCCATGAATTTGCTGACCACACTGACCGCCTGTAACATATCTAGGCGTGTACACACCATGGCGTACATCAAACTTCCAACTACACTAGCATAAAAAATACGCTCCATGTGTGCCTTATCTTCCGCTATAGTGGGAGAATGTTTACCTGAAAGCCTGAAGTATGGAGCCAATGAAGTCACCACCGACTTAGCACTTTGCATCCAGAACCTTGCAATAACCCGCTCTATATAGCCATTTTGACTCAAGAACAATCGCCAATTTGCCCGCTCTCTTCTAATCTCCATACCTAGTATTTTCCTTGCAGCACCGATGTCCTTCATCTCGAACTCTTTACCAAGTTGAGATTTTAGCCTATCTATCTCCACCCTACTCTTCGAAGCAATAAGCATGCCATCCACATATAAAAGGTGATAGATATAATCACCTCCATGAAGCTTCCGAATATAAACACAATAATCATAATCGCTTCGGGAAAATCCATGCTTTAGCATGAAAGAGAGAGTCAAATCGCTTGTACCACTGTCGAGGAGATTGCTTCAGTCCATAGAGTGACTTCCTCAAGCGACACACATGATTCTCCTTATCCTCAACCTTGTAGCCCTCAGGTTGATACATGTAGATCTCTTCATCCAAGTCTCTGTGTAAGAAGGTTGTCTTTACATCAAGTTGTTCTAGCTCAAGATCACCATGAGCAACAATACTCAATAGCATCCGAATAAAAGTGTGTTTCACCACCGGAGAAAAAATCCCATTGTAATCCACACCCTTTCTTTAAGCAAAGCCCTTAGCCACTAGCCTCGCCTTGTACCTTGTACTACTAAGCTCTGAAGGATCCTTCTTTCTTTTATACACCTACTTACAACCAATAGCTTTTCTTCCTACGGGCAATGTGATCACCTCTCATGTTTGGTTCTTCCGAAGAGATTCCATCTCCTCCTCCATCGTAGCCAAAAACTCTCACTATCTCTATCTTGAATAGCTTCTTTGAAGGAGACAGTCTCATCATCCACCATCGAGAGTGCGTATTCTACCAAATTAACCTGCTCATAGTGCTTCAGGGGTTGATCAGCCCCCATTTTTAGTACCTTCTTGTATGCTCGTCTTGGCCTAGTGAAAGCCAAACTATCCTCGAGCTGTTGTTATTGTAGTGCTTGTGTATTCTCCTGCTGACCCTCCTCCTGCGCAAGCTCATCATCTACTCGATTTCTCACTTGAACATGAATAGAACCCGGTTGGTTTTTAGGTTCTATTTTAATAACCTGAGACTTTGAAGTCTTAACAGTCCTAACACCATCATTCTTGGGCGCCCTAGCAATCATGGATTTCTCATTAAAGGTAACATTCGTGTTGATCACGAACTCTGAATCTTCTGTATACCAAAGGCGATAGCCTTTTACACCATTTGCATACCCTAAAATAATCACCTTCTTAGCCCTCGCATTAAGCTTTCCCTCGTTGATGTGATAGTAGGTGGTACATCTAAAAATTCGGAGCCTCTCATAATCTGCATGCTCCCCTGACCACACCCTATAGGGTGTATCACCATCCAATATAGAATGTGGAGAACGGTTCATAATATAGCAAGCTGTAGCCACCGCTTCTGCCCATCATTCTTTACTCAATCCAACATAAGATCGCATACTCATTGTTTTCTCCCTAATGTTTGGTTTAGTCTCTTTGCGACCCCATTTTGCTGTGGTGTAGATCTGACTGTCCAGTGTCTAGCAATGCACTCCTGATCACAGAACTCCTTGAAAGCATCATCTGTATATTTTGTACCATTGTCAAATCTCAGTGTCTTCAATTTCTTTCATGTTCTATTCTCAACCATCACCTTCCACTTCTTGAATGTATCGAATACCTCATTCTTATGTTTCAGAAAATAAATCCAAGCATA